CTTGGTTGCAAATATTTACCATTTGACTCCTGTGTTGCAGAAGAAGGGATATGGTGATAGACAGACACAGTCTCGGTGCAAGAGAGGCTCCAATCTAGTGTCAAAAGACCGAGGTGACATAAATGACTGTATCGTATTCACATCAACAGTCTGTGTAACCCAGTTGTTAACTGCTCCATGTTTGGAGCAAGGACCAACCATTCTTCTCATTTACATGAAAGAAGTTACTTGCCCCAAAGCGTATGTTTTACAGAAAAAAATAAAAGGGGTTTTTATCTCTCAGGAAACACCATGTCACTCCAAACCTTTATATATCTTCACAAGTTTCTTATAGCCAGCCACACAGCCACAACTTTCCTGTCTCTTATATTTTATTTATTTACTTTAAAAACATTTTTATCCTCACCTGAGGACATTTTTTAATTGCCTTTAGGGAGAGGAATGGGGAGGAAGGGAGGAGAGAGACAGACAGATATTGATGTGAGAAACCTGTTCTGACCAGGGATTAAACCTGCAGCCCAGTCATGTACCCTGACCAGGGACCGAGCCCGCCACCTTTTGGTGTATGGGACGGCAGTCAAACCAGCTGAGCCACCTGCCCGGGACTCCTGTCTCTTTGGACTCCTCTCTAAACTTCTCTAGCTCCAGTCCTCCATTTCCGGGGCTTTCTTTGAGTCCCTTCACTTCTTTCTTAGGTAAAGCAAGTGAGTTCTGTCTCAGCTCTTTCCAACTTGCATAATTACAATAACTGACTTAGCAAGCAAGACACCCACCAATTACCAAGAGTTTCTCTTATCAGGAAACAAGGGAATATTATAATTTTTTATTTTTGTCACCCACCTACATGTCTCCATACACTGGAGTGTCTTGCTTACTCTCTCCCACTGCGGTGTCACCAGCTCTTCTTTGCAAAGTCTTCCTAATTGGTGTGGGAGGTCCCAGCAGATACTTCACAGGTGCTCACAAAGTGCTATCAGTCAGGCAACAGCTCTCCTCTTGTCTTCTCTTTTAGCTCTCTATGGTTTTTCTCTCTGGTGTGGATACCTGTGTTGCCTATATAGTTGGGCGAAGGGGTCTTGGCTCTGCCTTCAGGGGTCACAGTCCCATGCCTTCCTTTCACACGTAGCTGCCATGACCACAGGCCTGCTGATATTTTTGGTCCCTGCCAGTGGGAGAGTGGAGCCATGGAATATGTGCTGAACGATGTCGTGTTCACTATGCAAGGGGGGAGAATGCTTCCCCACCCCTTTTACTGTCAGTGGGTGTCAGAGGAATACCAGGAGAGTGCCTGAAGATGTTTTGGAGAAATAAATTCTATTTCATTTTATGTTGTCTAATTTTATTCTAGATCATGAGTGATAATCAAGCTCTATAACACAAGCTATGGCACAAGACTAACATTCAGAACAGATCCACAGTATAACTGGTCAATCAGATTAGATGTTGGTTAGCAATTGGGACAGCCATGCTACTTCATAGTAGCTCTGTTTTGAAAGTCTTCCTACCCATGAAGGCTTCAGGTAGGAAGAGGAAGAGGAAACCCTCTTAGTTATAGATTTCATGTTGTTTCTGTCCCCCAAATTTACAATTTTTTTTCTGTTTCCTAATGCTAAGGTGTGGCTGGGGACATTGTAGCTCAGTGGGATATGAACATGAGCCCCAGAATTAAATGGATTGAGAATCAATTTCTTACTCTGCCATGTAATAAATCATAAATCTTGAACAATTAACTTCTGTGTGCTACAATTTCTTATCTGCAACATGGGATTAATAATACGTAATTATGGGTGCTAGAAATGTTAAATGAGGAAATTAATTTGTTCAGGGTTAAAAATGTTCTGAATTACTATTATTGTCCATGTTCTTGTGTCTGACTCATTCTTTAGAATAAGTTGGACTTCATCCTAATTCTAGGCAAACTCACCCAAATATCACAACAGATGTGGCCAGTCATGTAGTAGATAGTAAAGTAGTTAGCTCATTCACTCATTCAGTTATTCTTTGATTTCTTCAACCACAGTGCAAAGTAAGTGCTGGGAAATGAATGAAATTAAAAAGAGGAGATCACTTTATGTACTCACTGCTAAAGGGGGAGACAGACTAAAAAAGAACTACTTAGAAAGCAGTGTGAGAAGTGCCATTGTGAAGATAGGAAGAGGAGGTTATTGAAACACATCAGAGAGAGCCACTCATTGGGCCTGGAGGAAGCTTCACAAAAGAAGCAACAAAGACTGGGTCTTAGGATAGATTCAGGACCATCAAGTTCCCATCCCACTGGGAATTTCTGGACGAGCCTGTTTTCTGGGGCCATTGTAAATATGAGATGAGAATCTGAAAGCCCACACTTCCTTGATTCCAGAGCTCTGCTAATGCAAAAAAAAAAAAAAAAATAGAGATACAAAGCTTTTAAGATCAAGTTCCATCAGTATACAATTGAATAGAATTATTTAGTTCTTTAGAACTTTTTTTTTACTTAAAAAAGTAAAAAGCGTGGCAGAGGAATTTTTTTATCTTCACCCAAGGATGAATTTATTTATTTTAGGGAGAGAGAGATTGAGAGAGACAGACAGAAAGACATCGATTGGCTGCCTCCCATATGTGCCCTCACTGGGAATCAAACCAACAACCTAAGTATGTGCTCTGATCAAGGATTGAACCGGCAACCTTTTGGTATACAAGGTGGTGCTCCAACCAACTGGGGGATAGAGGAAAGTTTCTTACTAATGTGGCCTGTTCTTCATGCTACCTCCCAAATTCTAAAGTCTTCTAAGCTCTACCATTACTGAATAATCACCAGCAACAACAGTATTGTTATTAGTTAGGTTCAGGTCCCTGAAAGCATGTGGTCTGTAGCACATCAGTAGAATCCTCAAATGTACCCAGCATCTCCCCAGTTGGAGTCCCAAAGTGCACAAGTCCATGTCTCATGTCACTGTGTTTTCCAGTTGCTTAAAATTCATCTTGAGACTTTTTCTTTCTAGACTGATACTTCCAGTGTCATGTTTCTTTGTTTTTCTAGAAAGATGTAAATCAGTCTCTTTCTCTTTCTCTCACTGTGTCAGTGTTCCCTCCTCCTTTTCACTTGTGTCTCAGGCTTTCCCATCTTGGTCTGTCTCCTTCTCCCTCAGGAATTGTGCATTCCTTTTTATTTTTCAGATTAGAAAAGTTTACATGGACAAGCACACACAGATACCCACACAGCACACACAGGAAGAGCTTTTAACAATCTTGGCTGTTAAAAAACACAGGAGCGCTTTAACAGAGCCCTCACTGCTCACCCTTGTGTCTTCTGCCGATCTTTGGCTGTATTTAGTTCTTAACAAAGCACTTATAGGTGTTGATTTTGGACTTTGTTCTTTCCAGGGATAATTTTCAAAGCAAGCACCGTTGGAAAGTGTTCTTAGGCAAGTCTGTCCTTTGCCGGTCCACTTCATCCTCGTGGGCCCTTAAAAACTTGATTATACGGGTTACCTGTCACTTTTTTGTTTATGTGGTTTTTTTGGGTACAGAGAAAAGATTAAATCACCTTGGCAACATAAATTGGCTTTTAATCAGTCCTTTTTCTTCTGCGTACCATCAGTGACCCTGCTTTACAACTGCGAATCAGTGCAACTGGGGCTCTTTCAGAAGCCTTTTGGCAAAAGCAGTTCAAAGATCTCACTACTATGTTTGATGTTACTTGCTTCCATATTTGTCATATCAGAAATTTGGTTTTTTGCTGTGGAAAGGACTGATATATCTCAGCATATTTTATGTCTCCCCAAACCCCCCGCATTCTTTCTGGAATTTGTTTTGTTCCCTCCTCTAACTTGTCCCAGCGTGCCCATCTCTAACTTCTACTGTCCTTCACCCACTTCCCTGTGCGCACCCCCACCCCACCCCACCTTTCCAGGACAGGAGAGTAAACATCTGTGGCTTCTGTTTTCACACTGTGACCACAGTTGACAAGCTCCATTCCCTGAAATCCCTCCCCGTTCTTGAAGAAAGCCCCTGCTCATAATTCATGTTTTCTACCCACACTTAGTAAAGATCTCAATGCTGCAACATTAATTCTATAATTATCACCTGTTTTTTATATTTTCCTAGTCTCTTTGTTCAGATGTCTACACCCTAGATTTGGGAAATCACTTTCTGATACTTTTTTTTTTTACATAACAGAATTCTCCCATGCAGCCCTTTCCTGGCCCATTGGCACACCTGATAGATGTCTTCTCAGACAGATTTTCTGTGCAGCCACAGAATGTCTGTGGAACTTCCATACCAGAGGTAAAGACAACCATAGTAACACTGAAGAGGGCCTTGTGAAACATATGAGTAGGATATGCCACAGGAATTAATAATTTTCAGGCTGTGTCTTAAATTGTAACTACATTGTTTTTTTAAGGAAGTTGCTTAATTTACATGCAGAGAACACACAGGGCTACATTCTAATCAGGAACCAGTTCATTTAAAATCCATATCTCAGAAAGTACTCATATTATTCTGCTCTATATGCATACACTATATTCCTTTGAGTAATAAGTTATGAAATGTTTTTGATAATTTGACACTCCCTGATAATTTTCTCCAGCTCCTAAAAGTCTAAGTGAATACAATGAAAGAATACCACTCCTAAAAAATTATTTATAATATCTTTTTCCCCAGAGTCAAGAATAAATTTTTTTAATTAACAATTATACAGATTTATCATTCAAAAGTAATAAAAATAACTTCACTGGACACTATGTCAATGTTCTTTTAGGATCCCCCAATTAAATAGAAACCTTAAAAACATAACTGCTAGTTTGCTAGGTTTTAGTAGGTCAGCATGCACACTAAAAGTGTATTAAGGTGGACTGCTCTATTTATTGATTTGCCCTGAGTCTGCTAAAGGCTCCAGACAATTGTCTGCAGAAGGGGCGGGAGGGCCATACATGATCGAGGTCATGCGCATCTAGCCAATTTGTAAGACGATCCCGCAGCTCCAAGCCATCAGCAACCCTTGCATAGGGGCACCCTCATGCATTCCTGTCAAGTCATCTTGTGAAAGGCTGCCTGCTTCCAGCTTGGCTTGGATGTGCAACCTTAATAAAACTCACTGAGGTCTGGGAGAAAATAGCAGATCTGCAGCAGATAGGGTAGAGGAAAGGGTCTAGAATATGTACACGCAGCTAACTCAGGCAGGCTCCACGCTGAACGGTTACACAGAGAGGAAACAATAAATCTCAGCTACTATGCAATAAATATCTCAAGTTTTAACTAAGGAAACTACCATTACAGTGAAATAAAAATTAACATTTTAGAACAAAGCTAACAAATGGCTAGTTTTCTGTGATTCTTCTTCAAAAGCTTTCTTTGAGCGGGAGACAGTGAAAGAGACAAGCGGTTTTACCTGAAATAAAGAAGTAGTTTAAAGGTCAGAAGAAAGGAGCAAGTTTTGCGAGAGGCACGGAAAGAGAGTGCTGGCAGTACAATGACAGTTTTCCTTTCCTTAGCTTTCCTCGCTGCCATTCTGACTCACGTAGGGTGCAGCAACCAGCGCCGGAGTCCAGAGAACGGTGGGAGAAGATATAGCCGGATTCAATATGGGCAATGTGCCTACACGTTCATTCTTCCAGAACACGACGGGAACTGTCGTGAGAGTAGGACAGACCAGTACAACACAAACGCTCTGCAGAGAGATGCTCCGCACGTGGAACCGGATTTCTCTTCCCAGAAACTTCAACATCTGGAGCATGTGCTGGAAAATTATACTCAGTGGCTGCAAAAAGTAAGTGATTGCTTTCAGTTTCTAATTGCGCGGAGCCTTTTCCGTCCTGTACTGCAGCTGACTTAGAGATCCTTAGGGGAGCATTTGTGTGTTTACCTTTGGCTCCAGGGGGGCAGTGTTTGCAAATGCAAGAGGGCTTTCTCTCTGCGGCTTCAGGGATGAGCCAAGGTTTTTAGGTTTTTGCTAGCTTATGAAGGTGTGGTGGCACCCCATTTCTGTAGCTAGCAATGGCTCATTTTACGATATCTGCTTTTCTCATATTTAAGGTTTAGCTTGAGTTTTCTGACTGTGAAAACCCAACTTTTTAAAAAATATGTACGTTTGGAGCAAGTAGGCAAAAAGAAACAAATAACGACAATAGTACTTCAGGGTCAAATTTACTACACCAGGAAATTTTGTGCAGCCAAGTTGGGAAATTCTCACCACATACTTATTTTTCAACTTCTAGTAAAGTTAATCTGAAATGAGAGTAGATACAAAGAGAAATATTTGGTTGGAGAACTTGTGTAAGTTTGTAAAGGAAACTAAATTTTAGCAAGTAGTAGAATAGTGGAGGACTGATTTCTGTCACATTCTGTCCTTGAGAAAAAAGAAATCAGGAGGATAAGTTTTCAGGTGTCTGAATCAGAAAGAGGTTGTGTGCCCACCAGGAACGGAGAAACAGAGCTGGTGGCAGCTGCTCCCAAAGACGTGCACCTGCAGATTTGGACTGAACGCAACGTGTAGACTTGGCTCTATATCCCTGAGGTGCTTTTTCTTCCCTCTGGACATGATAGATGCAGGCAGTGCCATGTGGGAATGTGGGTATCCCAATGAGTGTTAATATGAGTGTGCTTGTAATCTCAATGTATAGAAATGTAATGGAACATTTTATTCAGTGGTTCTCTATAAGTCATTTAAACATTTTATTGAAAATACGCCTCTTAAAACATAAAATGGTTTCTGCAGTTCATCCTCTCTTTGCTGTGTTTAATTGTGTAATAGGTAAGCAGCAGATAACAAGTTTATTCAACTATGTCACTTATTATAAGGGGGGGGGCAAATATCCCTATTTGTGAAAAGCCTCCCCTCCACCCCCCTGGGGATCTTTGCAAAAAATCCACTTAGTACATGCGTATAGATAGAGATGTAACCAGTTAACTCTTCTTTAAATTAGTTGGTTAACAGAGCGAACCTTTTAAGAAGATAAAAGATGGGGAAGAGATAATTTTTCTTTTCTGTTCCAGTGTGGTCACGCTCAGACCCCCTGCCTGCTGAATTATGCCAAGTAATAGTTATTCTACTTTTGTCCACTAGGGACTGAACTAAGATCATTATTATTTTATTTGACAAGTTAAATGGAACTCAGTAGTTTTAGTTTTGAAACCTGAAATTGTAGTTATCTTTGCATTGTGAACTACAGGTAAAAAAAAAAAAGGCGGAAGAATAGAAAGCAAACAGAATTCTGCTGTCTTTTGATAACTATAACTTAAACTTCAGATGCTAATTACAGCGGCTGTTTCTAACAGGATATCTGCTTTTTGCTTCGGCAAAGCTTATTTCCATAGTAAGCAAATAAATTTGGTTGAATCACTTAATACTACTTTCTGTATACTGTCTATATAGTTAGTTAATGAAAGTTCAAATCATTTAAAATTAGTCTGGATTCTTTGAAGGGGGTAGGAAAGGAAATTTAGTCTGTAATAGTCTTGAATGAGGTATTTACCAAAAATGTGATATTTTGTTTTCTTAAAATATACAATTAAAATAGTCATTTAAACATAGTAATGCATATTTTTTGTTGCTATGCAATTATTCATCAGTGACAGGGTATATACATAATTCTACTGGGCTAAATCATGCACATGTTTCAGTTGTTCATTTATTGTGTGAAATAAATTTGATTTTTGTTTGTACTGTTCTTGGTCAATGACTATTGTATAGTTTTCAGATTATAGCCATGCATAACTATTACACCAGTCTTTGCTAGTGTGAATGGAGCTGAATATATGCTGAAAATGTCTCTGTTGGTATGAGTCAGAGCAGCTTGGCTTGACTATTGTCTGCTTAAATTTGCATATCTTTTGTCCTTGTTAATGCAATTGGTCTGAGGATCAAGAAAGCAAATAATTGCATTCAGCAAAGAACTTGCCAAAGGCTCTCATAAGTTTCCCTTAATTAGAGGCTTTTTTCACTTCAAGTTCTGAATTTCATGTAATGTATTTATTTTGATAATTCAAATGGAAATCTTTTTACAGTAACCATTTGGTATGCTTAGTACCGGAATTTGTACTACTATTTTGATTCCAAGTGGTTGTGTTAAGACAAGAAGCAATACCCTGCAGAAACTGAGACCATCAGTGTGTAAGTGCAATTCATTCATTCATTTATTCAACAAAATAATTAAAGCACAGTGATTATTATGCAGCTCATGGAATCACTATCAGGAAAGTGTTTGATGGAGAATGTGTGTTATCAATGGTAGATTCAGCTAGTTGGTGATTTATATTAATCCAGTACTTCAAACTTTCATTGAAGTTTGATAGGCTGGATTCTTTTAAATATTCTTCACAAGACACCAGCTGTCACCAAAAGTCACCTCTGATACAGTCTTAAGTCTCCCTCCTCAAAACTTTCCTGGTCTTGCAGCTGAACAAGATGAGAAGCAAGGTATGAAAGGGACGAAGATTGTATTGGTCACTGTAAGTGCTGGAACTGTTCATTGTTATCACACTGGTCTTTTGATGTAATGAATTTAATTCACCAAGATCAACTTTCCTTGGTAACTTGTTGATTAACACCAATATGAGGTAGGTTGATGGCATTATTCTCACTTGTCAGGTGGGGAAGAATAATAAAAAATATGCTAAAAAATCACAACTTTATTGGGAAAAACACTAGGGCTATCTGTCTAGGTTTGGCTCTCTTCTATTATATAGCTCTTTTTAGAATTATTAGCAAACAGTACTCAATACCTGAGAGTGACTACATACCAGGATAGTAACAGTAAGGAGAAATGGCCTTAATGGCTTTGACATTTTTTGTGTGATTCCTTTCACCTTTTCTATGGCAGAGAAATGTCTAATGTTTAATATCTACTCCACATCTTGTACTTTTGAAATATTCTTTTCTTTTCCTTCTCCCATATCCTGAAGTTCACAAATATGTGTATTTAAGATATTAACATTTATAATCTATATTTTAGAATTTGGAGGAATGCTTAGAAAGTCTGTTTTGCCTTTGCCAAAGGATATCTTTCTTTTGGTTTAAAGTATGAATAAAATGAGTCAAAAACATGACTTAGAAAATAGGGTCTATCTACTATAAATATTTCTTACTAAGATTGATGAATTGAAGATGATTTGTAGAAAATGTAGTTCTGAATCGCCATTTAGAATATTTTAATAAATGAAAAACTTTTACTGGAATGCTTGGCTAATTTTTTTCTATTTGACAGTATTTCGTGACTTAATAGCATCCTATACTTGTATATTGTAGTCTTTGCTTTGGAAAATTAGGATTTAGCATGCTTTTATCTAAAACATACTGATGATGATGATCATCTTTTTAAAACCAGATAGAACATACATTAACCCATACTAGTATCCACTAGAAGGTGACCTTCATGAGGCCAGTGACCTTGTGTGTTTGTTCATTGCCACATCCCCACTTCCAGAGCAGTATATGGTCCATAATAGATAGACAATAAATATTATGGCAAATGAATGCATTGTTATGTGTTGCAGTCTATACTTTACTATGTACTATTAACATTTTATTTTGGATATACACCTACCTCCCAAAATAGATTGTAAGCTGTCAAATAGGCAAAGACTACATCCTATAATTATTTCTGTCCTAATATTAATCAAAGCAATAATTGAGTTTAGAGTAAGTGGCTATTAATGATTCAAATAGTATTTTACCCAGTGATCTAAGATTTCAAAAACTTCTATAGTCACTCTATTTTGTCCTCTTAACTATTCTTTAAAAAAGCAGCCTTATTGCCCATTTCTCTTGGAAAGCTACCCACACTTGACCTTCCCAGGCTAAGCTCTCCAGTGTTATCAAAGTACGTTGCAGGTATTATGTTAGCACTGCACTTCATCTGTGGCTGTTATCATTCCTAGTATTTGTTCCAAGATCTGTTTTCTTACTTGGACAATAGTATGGTAAATGCCTCTTTATCCATTTTTATATCTCCTAAGATATTTATTAAGTGTCTGAAGAATAACTCTCTTATCATCATAATCCAAAAATAAAAAAACATTAAGTTCTCAAGTGTGTGGTGCTGGGTATAAAATCATGTAAGTTAAGGGGCCCTGCAACTGCCTTTAGATGCTAAAGTTGCTTTAACCTGTCATGCTAGTTACTTGAAGGTCAGCTAGATCTTCCTCTGGGAGGAAAAATATTTGTACTTCCAGACCAGTAGGCAAACATCTATTGCATGCAACAATGGCATGTATTTACACATATCTGCACATGTGAACCTAAGTAACTCAAATGGACTTCTCATCTGTGCATTGTTTTGGTGGCTGCTGACTGTGCAATACTGAGCCAGAGGGGATGTTTTGTATCTTATTTGCACCTGTGGAGAGACTTCCTGAATGTGTGAAATGAGCAGACAGTTGATAAGTATTTATTTTTAAATTTATTCCTCAACTTGAAGAAAATATATGTGTATAATTTATGCATAAAGATAGAAAAACTGGCAATTGCAAGAAAGTTTAATAGGAATAATTGTCTTTTAAACCCAGTTGTAGATATATACTCAGCTAGCTTTGTTTAAAGAACAACCCTGATTTTCAAGCCAAGAAGGAGCCCTTTAATTAGTATCCCTGTATTAAATTCTCAAGAAATAGTTGGGCGTTGCTGTTTGCTTCTAATGTTTTAGAATCAAAAGACTCAAGAAGGCATAAAAATCTTTCTGGTCCCCAGAAGGTGGGCAGTTGGATCTCTAAAGGCCTTTTGGATTTCTCTGAGGAAGGAGCAAGCCTCTTCCCATACATCCCCACTGGTAC